CATGATCTGCCATTTACTGGCTGGGTCCTCTTACCAGAAGCCTATGTGTATGGTGTGAACATGCCCTTCTCATTTAAATACCAACATACCAGTAAAACTCAACTCTGTCTCAAACTCAAACAATAGCTCTTACCACAGAGGCCATAAGATGGCTCTCTCTACTCGAACACACATTGAACTTGTCTTTGCTCACAGGCAGGATTTGCAGATAGAAAAGAGTGCTCAGGCAAATGAGTATCTCTTTGAGAAATGGTTTGTTGGGAACCACTGATGTCCTGGAAGACAGAATGTCAGATACCTTCAGGAAAGATAGGACGCAAACTAGAACATGGGTATGTGACCTTAGGAAATGTTTTCCCCAGTTCCAGGGTCAGAGGGAACACTGGAATTTCATCACCAGAAAGCAGTAAAAGAAGATCAGCATGTACATAAGTGGGCATCTGTGAAGAGCCAGACACTGAATTCAGGGATCATTTAATTCCCACCTTATTGGATGACAGGCCGGGTGGAGGGCATCTACCCCAGATAGGGCTGGGAAACATGCCTGAGGACCAGAACCAAGAAGATGACCATGATAATAAAGGTTGATACTACCTCTTCAAAGTTCTGTTTCTATAGCTTTCATTTAAACTATTGAAAAATCTTTATTGTTATTGTGTTTGCATGCACATGTGTATATATGATTGGGGGTGCACTTAAACCATAACGTTTCTGTGGAGGTCAGAAGACATCATTGTAGAGTCAGTTTTCTCCATGCACTCTACACGGGTTTGGGGGATCAATCTCAGGCCTCCATGCTTGTGTGGCAAGTGCCTTTATCCACTGGATAAAGGCCATCTTGCTGGCTCTGAAATTTAAAGGTTCTCAGCCATAGCCAGACTGGGTTTTTCATGTATACTGTGAGAAAATGTTGATGTCTGTGCTCATTCCCACCATATAAGAACTTCTTGGGGTGCGGAGTGAAGGGGTGCAAAGAAATAAGCTTTAAGAAAGATGTCCCTGAGTTGCTTTAAGCATTGTTTAAGAATCACTTATAAGTATTCATTTGCATTAATCCCAGCACAAAACTAGTAGAAATTTGTGTGTTTTTTGCAAAACTGCATTCAGAGATTAGTTATATTGTTGCAAATCAGTTTTGAATCTGGTAGAAGATTGATTTTTCAACTCAACAGAATCTTGGAAGACCCGGGGGTGTGTCAGGAGACTAGGGAGAACTTGCTTCTGCTTGTCCATTACAGCTTTGGGTTGTAAAAAAAGCACTGGTCACCAGAGGCTTTTGGAAGGTGTTTCTTACAACTTGGGTTATTGTCTAATTCCAAGCTTAAGCCTCAGCTCAGCAGTTCTGGGTCACAGGTCATTTCCATGACATCACAGAAGCACAAGACACGATGTGTGGATCCCAACAAATGAGACTGGGTGTTTGAGAAGCTGGGGATGTGGAGGTAGCTCACGGAAAAGGAAATAGTCAATTGACTTTGTAAGTGGATGAAAGGCCAACAGTTTATCTTGCTCTTTATGACAAGGAGAGAAAGTCCCACCCCCAGCCATGAAGAAACTAAAATAAACCAACATGACATCTAACTGCAGACACTGCACTAGGAACACTCGGTTCACGAGATTGTTACTTCAGACTGATGAACTAAATGAGATTGATTTTAGGGTTTGATCAGATTTCAGCAAACTTTAAGTGTTTAGTATTTCTCTTTCCTGTCTACTTCACAGTCACTGTGGGACAAATAGAACTCGCATCTTAAAGAGTCCCCAAAAGTTGTCTGGGTTTCTAATGCTGATAATATACTATGACAGGAAAATATTATTGATGCTTATTATATTGTGTTTTATAAAGAATGGGTAACTTCCCTTTCCTGGAGAACTTAAACATAAATTGTTTAATTTAGAAAAATGACAAAGTATCTTCCTGGAGACAACAGGACTTCCAGTTTGCACAACTCCAGCGGTCACCTTACATACCATAATCTGTGCCTGGCCTCCACACAATTATACCCACGCTGTGCTGTGTGCTGTACTTGGCAGTACTGAGCAGCAAGATTCCTCAACCCAAAGCAAATGCCTGGGAGAAGAGATGGTAACAAGCACAGGAAAGAGGCTCATGGCATGAAGAGGGACAATGAGAGTCTTGGTTCTGCGCTGAATAAATTGTTACCATATTTTTGTACAGTCTATGTTATTTGGACTGGCATTCATTCAACTACCACTTTTTGGATACCAATGCTTCCCTTAGGTGTTAGTCCCTGCCATCAAGGCGTTGATGACATTCATGATTTCAAAGGAGACCTGGAGTCTGCATGTAGGCACTGTATGTGGCAGTGCCATTGTGTCAGGGACCCAAGCCATGGACTCTACTGCCCCTCAATTGTCTCCACATGGCCTAGCCTCTACCAGGTGTGTGCGAAAAGTTCCCAGGTGAGTTAGTTGCTAAATTTGATATCAGTGGGTACAATAAGGACTGTTTTTGAGTGGGAGGAAGAGATGTAAGCGAAGAAATGTCCTAAAGGCTGACACCTCAGGAGAGGTGAAATTTTCCTAAGGTGAGCTGTAGAGTAAGGCATTTTAGACAATGGACCCAGTGTGAAGCTGCAGAGCCTGTGGGTTAAAGCTTGTAACAACGAGATTACAGGAAGGTAGGGTATCATAGCAAGGTGATATGGCTGAAAGAGCTCAGTGTTGGGCTGTCCGGGCTGCTAAAAGTTGGCCTGCGGTTTGGTCTTAATCACCGAGCAGGAGAGAGGGTAGGCATTGAAAATGTTTCAGCAACTGAATGGTGGATAAGAGATAGATCAATTATTTATGGAAAAGATGTAACTTGACAGCTCCACTCTCAGTCTGGACAGCCTGGGGCACAGACTCTGAGGCCTTTCCTTTGACTGGATCACCCGAGGTACTTGTTTGACGTGCAGATGCCAGGGCCCTGCAATGTTCTATTTCTTAGCTCTGGGCTGAGGTATGGGCTCAGTGTTTAAATGGTCTATCCAGGTCATTTTCTACACGAGTGCTAAATTAAATTTGGGTTAGAAATAAGACCAGTGCGGGGGTGCATTGGTTATTCACTTCTGTGTAACAAATGACCTCCGAATTACTGACTTACTACAATGCAGATGGTTTATCTTTAAGTATATACAGATCAAGGAGTTTAGCTTAACTGAGCAGTAGCATGAATTTTCAGAGAAGCTATAGGCCAGAATTGTAGTTACCGACAAGCTTGAGGGCAGCTGAGGATCTTCCGAGCTAATTTGTGTGGGTTTGGCCTTAGTGTCTCTCTGGGTGGATTTCTCCAATGGATCACTTGATATGGAAATTCTTATCTCCCGGCATGAATGTTTTAAGGGTATGGGAGACACAGAGTGGGAAGGAGAAGGGATGGTGGAGGAAGAGACAGATATACAGGCTAAGACAGAGCTGCAGACTTCTTTTACATTGTTATATGCTTTCACTATGAATCCAGGCTGGCCTGCAACTAATCAGCTCACATTGGCCTTGAACTACTTTCTTTCTATTTCAGCATCCTGGGTGCTGGGGTAACGGAACTTTGCCACCGCCACAAGCTAGTCTAGGAAATGGCATACCATCACTTCTGCTATGTTCTCCTGGACACACAGATCAATGCTGGTTCAGCAAGGGCTTCATGTTTTGACTAGGATGACTCAGGAGAGCCTGGAGTCAAGGTGGGAGACAAAATTCATAGCCTTGGTATGAGATGGAAGGAATATGAAGTTATAATGTGTGGTCTGGAATAATATGAACTAATGTGTTTGAATATGTATTCCATGTCGGAATCTCTCCTGAATACTTTGCGCAAAAACCTCTGTCTGCTCAATAGTCTCTGGCATGCAGTGCGTATTCACACATATCAGCCAGCCACGCTCTGAGCACTTTGCTTGCACTATCTCACTTCACTCTCGTGACATCTGAATGGGCCAGGCACCGTTACTGTCCTGAGTGGGAAACTGCAAGGTGGATAGTACAGGGGGAGAGTTGCTGTTAAGACGGGCTTGCCAGGACAAGGAGACAGAAGGAGTGTGGAGGAGGATAACTGATGATAGCATCAGTGTCCCATGAGACTTTTAGCCGGCTCAGGGGCCGCTCGTGCAGTTCCTTAACTTCCATCCAGGGAGTGTGAGGACACTGGCTGAGCAGATACAGCCACTAAGCAGAGGAGGACATGCCAGCCTAAAGCACCTCACTGGCCATGCAGCTCAATGCTTTGGAGACTAAGCCTTGGGCCAGGAATCCTTCCCTGAATGGATTCCAAGCACCATTCCTCAACAGCTGATTCTGTTTCCTGAGAATGTAGGGTATGGCCCCTGCCTTAAGGCTTTTCAATTCCAGAGTTTTCTGCAGTTGGGAAAGCCTAAGATAAACAACGCTTGGGCACAGCATGTCAGGCTTCTAAAATGATTGGATGGGCTGTACAAAGTCACACCATGATTCTTGTTTATAGCACTTCTCTCCAACACTCACAGTCTGGGGTCCTGCATCCATCAGCCTCGCCACCCAGCACTGTTTTCCTCCACACATCCTTGACATTCCTTTCCGATGGAAAAGGCCCGTCCAGTGTTCCACTCTGCTAAGCTTTCCTCCCAGATGTGTGCCCTGGCTGTGCCCTGCACCACCCTGGTCCTCTTCTGTTAATCACAGGGTTTTTCCACCCCCCCCCCACCCCCCACCCCCACACACACACACACAACTCCCCTTTCAGGTTTCTCTCCCTGGCTGTCCCTGTCTCTGGTGTCTTCAGACTCCCACATTCCAGCCTTTCTCTTCCTTGATCGTGCCCACCTGGAGTAACAAATGCTTCAGAGTTTGATAATTTACTTAATGTCAACAAAAGAGAAAGGGAAAAGTAAGCTGTAGAAATGCAGGCGTAGAACTGGAGAGAGCCAACTTGGCCTGCAGGACCCAGGTTCCCAGAAGGGCCTGCCCGCCTCCACAGGCTCCACCTAGCAAGTTAAGTGTGGAAAGGGCTGGGCTGTTGTCATTAATAAATCGCTCGGACCCCTCTGAGATGGCGGGACAAACCATCCTGGACTGCAGACAGCGCTCTAGATTAACCAAGGATTGCCTTACTGTCGCTGGACCAAGGCAGCCAAGCCTAGCCTAGTGGCCCTGGAGCGTCTCCAGCACCAGGGTGGGGCCCCGGAGGGAGCGCCCAGTCAGTCACCCCGGCATGTGGGCGCGGCGGGGCGGGCCAGGGCTCCGAGCTGGACGCTGAGCTCCTTCTGGGCCCGAGTGTTTGTCCAGCCAGCCCTCCCGGCTGGGTCTCAGCCTGTCCTCCCTTCTCTTCCTGGACAGCTGCCGGAGGCAATCTGAAGGTGGCAGGTGCTTGGGCCACCTTGCTCGGGGGTCCTGAGCAGGTAGGCGACCCGGTGGCGGCGGTGGTGGATGGGGTGGGACGCTGGAGCACGGAGCCAGGGAGAAGGGGGAGCGAGTGGGCAGTGGGACCCGGGAGGTGGGTCTCCAGGGCGAGGGGAGCAGCACAGGGGCCAGGGCTAGGAGGGTGGTGAGACCCTGGTCTCCGCGCATCTGTCCCTCGGGTCCCTCCTCCACCGCGCGCAGGGCGGGCTCAGGTGCCCAGCGGAACCTGCGGCCGGTGGTGTCCGGTGTCCGGTGTAGGGTGTCCAGAGTCAGCAGCCGCGGCAGGGTGAGTCGCGGCCGGAAGACAGGGGGTTTGTGATCGATATACCCGGTGCCTCCAGTGGGAGGAGAATAGGCGTCGGCTTGGCGTCTTTCGGGGAAGTTGTGGGGTTCGGGCAGTGTGCATGCACACGCGATGAATGTGTACACCGGACTGGGGCAGGTGCAGCCGGAGGAAGCCACCTGCGAGGGTTTGGGTCACGCTGCAGTTGCTGGGTGCTGGCAGCTGTGCTGGCCAATCAGCTCGTGTCCAGGGGTCTCTCCTGGCCGGGAGACCTTCCAGGCAGAGAGCCCTGAAAGCCGGTTTCAGCCCACGCAGAACTCCATGAGTTCCTTCCCAGCTCCGGGACACCCTTGTGCCGGCGCCCCCACGTGGTACAGGGAGGGGCGGGCGGTGTCGCCTCCTCGCGGTTCTGGGTCAAGGCTCAATTCAGAACCAGCTCCAGTCAGCTGGGCCAAGGCTTCCTGGCCGCTCCTGTCTTTTTGGGTCTTTTTGTAGGTTTTCTCAATCGTGTCTCCCTTTCCTATGGTCTCAGAGAAGTAGCATGACAGCCTCTTCCGCAGCTCTCCTACAAGCTTCTCTTTGCTTCTGTAACAAAACAAGGTGCTTATAATTTTTTTTTAATTTAATAAATAAGTGGGAGGAATACTTAGGTGAAGATTTGGTGTGGACAAATTTTTCTAGTTACTTGAAAGCATTTATAAACCATCCAGCTGATCTCACTACTTGCAATTTATTTTATTCTCAAAATCATCATAAAAATAAGAAAAAAAACTGAATAAAGCAACTCAAAGCCTGAAGACAAAGGTAAATGTTTAAAGGATAAATAGAATTTAAACTAGATTCTTAGTTTTAGGGATATATTTACTATACACACCACATTATTTTTATGATGGACTGGGCTGTAGCTAGGGTGTTATTATTATTTATTAGGCCCCATATTAATTAAAAACACAATTGTGCTGTAGAAAAGCAGAAAGTATTCAAGTCAGACCAGAGATCTTCAGACATCCTGGAAATTTAACCAAACTTAGACTCTTTAGAAATTTTTAGAGTGAGCAACAGGTATGGGCTTGTGGCTTCTTATTTGTCCTTTTCAAGAAAAGTGTCGCAGGAGAAGAAAAACAAGTCAGCTGAGCTGCATGTTGTGTTGAATCTTGAATAACTGCCCTCCATGTGAGACCCAAACACAACTGGGTGAATCAGCAGTGAATGTCCCGTCGGTCGGAGTGAAAGTAGGAAAACCCCTGACTGGTTAATTTCCTTGTTTTTATTTCCTGTGCTTGTCTCAAAAACTTCAAGGTAGATTTTTATCTCACAATCCACGAGTCACAAAGATTCCCAGATTGATTTTACTGATTGGGAAACTGAGTCCGAAGATGGGAAGTGGCCTCCCAAAGTCACAGCTCACTGGAGGCGAAGCTGGGAATCCAGGCTGGGCTGGTGTCCCTTGAGGTAGTCCATGAACAAACTGCTGTGTTGGGGGGTGCTATAGGACAGCCTTGAGGACGGTGGCAGGAGGTTCATCCAGAGTGAATCAGCAGTCCAGTTTGGTGCCCATAGTCAACAGCCAAAGACACTTGTTAGCTGGGTTTCCTTGGTATTCTCTGGGGACACCAGGACCCACTTGTCCTTTTTTCAAGAATGATTAAGCTGGCTCTGGTGGTCAGGCTCTACATTCCCTGTTATGTGAGAGCAGAGGCAATCAGTGTAGAAAGTCAAAAGCCTACCTAGCCTAGAGTATATTCAAAACTGGCCTGGGCAACTTAGACTCGGTCTCAAAGTATATAAAGCAAAAAGAGGCCTGGGGATGTAGCTCAGCAACAGAGGGATTGTCCAGCACGTACAAGGGACAGGGTTTACTTCTCAGGACTGCACACCAAAACTGACTAACTAACCTCAATGCTTGAAGTCCATGTTTGCGACACAAGGCAAAACAAAAAGTTTGCACAGCTCTTTACAGGGGTGCCACGGAAGGGAATATTGGGGAGACAAAGTATCTGCCTAGTAGTGAGCCCGAGGAAGACAAACGCACCACTGGGCCAGTGTGGCAGGCAGTGCTGTGCTCCTTCCTGGGTGGGGTGTTTGCTTCTGTGGCCTCCTCTAATCTTATCTATAGTTGATGGGTTGGGCTTCTGCACTTGCTGAGATATCTATCTCCTCATCTGCAGCTCCCTTCCCAGGGATATTTTCTGGTCTTCATTCTGAAATTCTAAAAGCGGCATCACACCCTGATTCTGGGCTCCTGAGTAAACTTGTAGCCTCCAGTCAATGCAGTGGACATGGTACCTGCCATGCTTTGCAGCCTCCCAGCTATCACTGTCTGCCTCAGCTGTGAAACGGGGCTGGCCTCTTGGAGTTAGGGAGTGGAGGGAGGGAGTTGACTTATGCTGAGTGTTTGAGTCAGTGCTTGCAACAGTTAAGTGTTGGTTCTGTTATCAGAGTACTCAGGGAGGAATGTGCCCTTGGCTCTTTGAGGGAGTTAATTTTCAGCTCTCTCTGACCCTCTAATACTGTTCACTTGATTAAAGATTGGGGGTAGAATAGAAGCTGCAGACCTCATCAGTTGCTAATTTTTCTATCCTGTTCTATGGGCACCAACCACTGAGGTCATGGAATGTAGCCATTTTGGCTGTTTCCTGGAATTTCAAGGAGTCATTTACTTTATTTACCTACTACTTTACCTCAGGACCTCGGAGTCACATGGGCCAAAGAGCCAGAGTCTTTCTGTGGGAGAAGAATATCTTGTATAAACACTTCCTTTAGGGTGGAATTGCTCTATTGCATGAGAATGTGCTAGAACCAAAATATCACAAGACATTGACTCTGTGCCGTCTAACCCTTTGAGGACTGTCTCAAAGCAATATGCAAGCTTAACTAGGGGTCCTGACAGAGGTATGCCTGGCCAAGTTACACCCTTGGCATTCATTTTAATGCTGCTTAACCTTCCTCATATCAGTATGTTCCATTTGATTTCCAGTAGTTAAGTGCTGTGGGAGAAAATAGGGTGCAGGTAGGAACAGTACACGTATCTCCAAGGCCCTGCTGTACAATGAATAATTAGTGAGTCTGAATGCTGCTGATGTCCTGTGGCACCTCACTACTGAGTGAGCGTGTCTGAAAGGACTGTGTTCAAGAAGCCACTTTACAAGGAATCGGAAGAGGAAGGGAAGGAAGCAGGATTAAAACTCACACAGATGGGGAGGAGGCCGGGGGAGTCAAGACTACTGTGGTCACGATGTGGCCTACTAACTGTTCTCAATTGAAGCGTGTTTTGCTCCCCGTGGAGAAACAAGAAGTTTGAGCGGGTATGGCTAGAAGCAGGATTACTGAAGCACTGTAGGCATGAAAATTATAGTTGATCTTTTAGAACATAGATGATTCTGAAATGTCATAGTGAGACTTTTGTACTTCCCATGACATTTGGGACAAATCGAATGTCTTTTCTCAACATATATACATATGTGCATATACATATGTAGTATTTCCTCCTGCTGATAAAAGTGTAAGGGTTCGGGGCCGGAGAGATGGGTGGGTAAATAAAGCACGAGGGTGCATTAGGACCCCACATGCAGTGGCATCTAATCCCAGTGCCCCTCTGCAAAAGGTGGAATCAGGAGGCTCCCCAGAGCTTTCCAGTCATCTAGCATGGTTGGTCTACAAAGTGTCAAACAAGAAAAAGAGAAATCTTGTCCCAAACGAAATGGAAGGCCTTAGATTATTCCCTGTGGCATATATGTGTGTAGCTAGAGTTTTCCTGCCTTGCCCACAGTCAGGACAAATCTCTGTCACCCACCAGTCCCTCAGCCACTCAGACTCAACCAAGTAAACACAGAGACTTATATTGCTTACAAACTGTATGGCCGTGGCAGGCTTCTTGCTAACTGTTCTTATATCTTAATCCATTTCTATAAATCTATACCTTGCCATGTGGCTCATGGCTTACCGGTATCTTCACATGCTGCTTGTCATGGCAGCTGGCTGGCAGTGTCTCCCTCCGCCTTCCTGTTCTCTCAATTCTCCTCTCTGTTCGTCCCGCCTATACTTCCTGCCTAGCCACTGGCCAATCAGTGTTTTATTTATTGACCAATCAGAGCAACACTTTTGATATACAGACCATCCCACAGCACAGGTGTGTACATACATGCATTCATAATACATGTGTGTGTCGTACTCACAGAAAGTCTGAAGGTTTGGCATCTAAAAGCATTAACCCACATAAAACTATGTAAACTAAGCAGAACTAGAGGAAGCGCTACCTTCTTGACACCATGCTTGACCGAGTCCACAGCCTCTGTCTGAAGGAACCTCCTGATAAACTTATAAACCAAAGACAAAACCCAGTGACCTCCCCCCGCATCCCCCCCCCCCAGGTATCTGGCCTGAAACTTCTATTTTACTAAATTAGGTTCCTGGAAAGGAGACACCTATGAGCTGGTAACCTTCCAGAATGTTCGTGCATGTTCTCTTTTGTACTTGCGCTGCTCTCATGGCTCTGCTGGGTTGTCTGGAAATGTCCTTTGTGAAGGAGAAAGCACATGGTTGTATTCATGCAGTGCCTAAGAGAAAGGAAAAGAAAGACAATGCTCTCTCAGTTTTATCCCTTCTTTTTACTTCTTTGAGAATGGCTCTGTTCCTCTAAAAGTATCTCCAATGTGATATTTTCCTTTGGAGTTTGGGGAGGGTATTTTAATTTCCTTTTGTGACCTTTTGTTATTGTTATTGTTGTTGGTGCTTTTCAGCCATGCTACTGGCATTTGGGAGGCTCTGAGATAATAATGTGTTTGTTCGGTTGGGAGGAGGCCAGACAAACCTCTGTTAAATTTCTGTTTCCCTGAGGCCGGCCTGTACAAAGTTAGGGTTTTTCCGATAAAGTATCTATTATGGGATAGAGGTTATACAAACTCTTATCAAAACATACCATGACATTTCTCCTCTTTCTCTTTAAAATAAAGAACGAGATTGTATTTCCTCCTGGCTTTCTTTACTAGCCTGCTCCCGTACAGAATCTATACATTTTATTGCCTGATTTGGTCTGTCGCTCTTGGCAGGTTTGTCCACTGAACAGCATTTACGAAAGAAACCACTCTGCTGAGTTCCAGTCCCAGCGGGTCATTACTGCTGGGGTGTTCCAGCCTCTGGGAAGGCCTGTGGAGGTGCCCAAGCGCCAGCCTGCTGGGAGCAAGTCATTTCCGGAAGCCTCTGCTACAGGTGCAGAGATTCCAGAAGCCTCTGCTACAGGTGCAGAGGTTCTTGTGATCAGCAACGATGCTGAGACAGATACTGGCGGATATGTTCATAGACCCTGACCTGCTGGCAGAGCTCAGCGAAGAGCAGAAACAGATCTTGTTCTACAAGATGAGGGAGGAACAGATCCGGAGGTGGAAAGAAAGAGAAGCCGCCATGGAAAGAAAGGAGTCCTTGCCAGTGAAATCCAGACCAAAGAAAGGTAAGTCTAGCCTCCTCCTCCTCTGTGCTGTGAATGGGGCGGCAGGAGGCCTGCTGCCTCACTGGAAGGGCTCACACCACTCACTGGCTGGCCAGGTATGAACCGTGACTTTGCGGCTAGATCCTATGTTACTTCTTAAGCCAGGTTTTCAAGTGGAAGTCTGCCTCTGCTCACACGTAAACACATAGAATGCCCGCCATGCAGTATATGTGGTTTAAGTATTTTGTCTAAAATCAGATTATCCTTAAAGTACGGTGAAGCCGGTGCTGAGGAATGGGGGTGTAGCTGAGTGGCAGAGCACTTGCCAAAGTACATGAGCCCCTCATCTCCATCCCAGCACCTCCAAAAAACAAAAAGCCATCCTAGATTTTGACTTGTGGGGCATTAAGGAAGGTCTTTACCGCGCTCCCCCCCCCCCCCCCTAGCATTTGGCTTAGCATTTTGCCATCATAATACAAAGTGCTTGGACAGCAAGTGTGACTATGCGTCATCAACTTCAGGCACTTTTTGAAGTTACCATTTTAAGGGCATGCCTGTTAAAATGTAAGGAACTTGCTTAAAGAAAGCAAATCTCTATAGTGCAAATGCTTAGTGTGGAATGATTCTCAGATGTACTTCTTCATGGCTGAATGAATCCCTAGGAGTTTGAAAGAGTTCTTTTGAAATCATCAGGGGAGGAATTCTTTGTTCACTATGACCTAAATGTATACATGCACAAATATGGAAAGTGCGCATTAACTCCCCCACTCCCCCACACATATAGGCTCGGTCATGGATCAGTACTTAACTAAACACGTATACATGTACACACACACACACTCCTACACACATGCACACAGTTTTCAAGGTCACTTACTGAGGTATTCACACTCAATTTCTCTTCACTTTTTTTTTTTTATTAAGCCAGGAAAAGTAAAATTTTACAAAACTGCTCAAGATTTCAGTAGTTGAGAAAATCCCACTGGCATCCTCACCAGATACACAGATTCAAAGTGGAAATCAGGTTAGTGGCCTTTGCCTCGTACTGTAACTAAATTCTTTTTATGAGGTCTATATACTGATAAGAAAAACAACTATGGGTATTTCGATTATTATTATCTTATACAACATAGACAGTTTAAGGGCTGGGTGTAGATCAGGGTGAGGGTGCCTGCATGGGCATACAGGAAGCACTAGGGTCAACATCAAGTACCCCTACCACATCAGCAACAAACCAATAACCAAAAAGTCCTGGACATAATATTAAAAAAAAAAGAACATGGTAATATCTTACTGGTATTTTAGATGCTCTGTGAAACACATACCTTATGTCTTATTCTCCCCAAATTTGTGCAATGTTGGTATTAACTGTCCACTGTTATAGGCCAAGACAGACAAACAAACAAAATATAACCCTTAGAGATCTTCTATATGGAAAGCTATACCCGGTACAGATGCTCACATCTGTGGAATTTTCATTGCACTATTCTGATTACAACTTTTCCTTCAAAAAAGTCATGGTGAGCTGAAGCATTGGGGGAAGGCTTAGCTGTTCATCTCCTTGCATCTCCAGGAAGTTTATCAAACAGCTGGGCTCCTCTAGGACACCGTGCTCATTGAAAACCTGATATGCTGGTATAGTGGGGTGACTTTGGGAACTGTTGAGACCAAAAGAGTGCTTGCCCCTGGGTCCTTTACTAAATTGTGGGCTTCTCAAGTTTGCTGAGTTGTTTTCCTTGTGCTAACCTGAGGCAATTATCTCAATTTCTTTGCTTAAGTGTTTCCTTGTAGAGTTTTGAATATAGCTTTCAAAAGAAATCCACATTACCTTTTTAGTTAAATGATGGTAGAAGAAGTATGCTAATATAAATATAATGAAAACAGTGGAAGTTCTATCAATATTGCTTATCAGATGTTTATTATCCCTTGAAATCCTTTAGCACTTGGAGAAAGATGACTGACATTTACCTAGTTCCTCTCGTAAGCAGAGAGCAGGAAAAAATTCTCCACTTCCTCTAGAAAGCAAGTGCTTCTCATATTTGATCTTGCCCAGCCTTTGGAGCCCAAACCACAAGTGGTCCAAAGCAGCAGCAAGGTGCCTAGCGGTTGCCCAGGGCACTGTCTGTGCTGTGGACCCACTGAGCCTGTAGCCATCATGTCTTGGCCCCCCACGTTTATCTCCACCTTACTGACATGTGTGTCCTACCTGCCCCCAGCCCTGCCTGCCTCCATCTTTTCCTGGACTACAGGCTCTTCCTGGCCACAGTTCACAGCCCAACCATGGCTTTGGAGGTTGTTCCTTTTTATTGTATCGCTCTTATGCCCACCCCCATTCCTTTATACTATTGTCTTCATTGTGCTAAAAGTTCTTTTCTCTAGAAAAGCACAAACCACTGTGGAACTCTCCTGACTTTCTATAATCTTAAGGTGAATGCAAGAATGGCTGAGAAAATCATTGGCAGCAGGGATTGAACCAACAATAGATTAGATGCTTTCTGAATTCTCGTGAGACATTGTCTGTAGCATGAATCTTAAAAGTTCTTATTAATAAAATCAAACCCAAGGCCAGTTATTGGGGTCAATGCTGGTAGATCAGAGAGACAGAACAAGCCACAGCTATCTCACCTTGCCAGTTCCTTGGCTGGTCCTGTTTCCTCAGACTGGAAGCCTCTGTGTCCTCATCCCAATGGCTCTCAGCTGAACTGCTGCTCGAAAGCCTGAATGCTTAACCAGCCAAATGCTTAACCAGCCAAATGCTTCCAGTTTCTGGTCCTCACGCCTTATAAACCTTTCTGCTTTCTACCACCACTCCCTGGGATTAAAGGCTGCTTTCTGGGATTAAAGGCGTGAGTCACCATGCCTGACTGTTTCCAATGCAGCCTTGAACTCACAGAGATCCAGAGGGATTTCTGTCTCTGGAATGCTAGGATTAAAGGCGAGTGCTAACATTTTCTAGCCTAAGTATCTTGTGGCTTTTCTGTTCTCTGACCCCAGATAAGTTTATTAAGGTACACAATATTTTGGGGAACACAATACCACCACAATTGTCCTTCATAAAGCAGGAGATAATTATGGACTGACTGTTTTTGCTATGTGATAGCTAAGAGGTCTGAATATTGTAGCAAGGAGCCACACATGGCTGTACCACAACTCTGAATTGAGGTTTGATGAACGCGTAATGAAGGTCTTGGTGGCACAGATGTGTAATTGAAGCTTCTTGGGAGCTTGAGAAGGGTTACCTGCCTAGGCTACAGAGTGAGTTCGAGTCCAACCTGGAGACCTTTGTGAGACCCTGCCTCAAATAAAAAGTAAAATGTGGGCTGGAAGATGGCCTAGTGACTAAAGTACTTACTGTACCCATGTGAGGACTTGAACTCAGATCTCCAGAATCTGTGTAAATTCTGAGTGGTCTTGTCAGCCCATCTGTAAGTTTAACCTTGAAAGGCAAAGCCAGGGGACCCCCAGAGTAAACTGGCTAGCTAGACAAACTGTATTGGTAAGCTCTGGGTTTCTCGGAGTCCCTGTCTCACTTAAGAACGTAGAAGAGCCATTCAAGATGATTCCTGACCTCAACCTTGGATCATGGACATGTGCACATGTGCAAGAGAACCTACATGTATGTACACACACATGCAAATATGTATACATACATATACCCCCCCCCTCACACACACACACTTGAAAATGGAAAAATGCTTTAAAGTATAAGGGGCTGGGGATGGGACTACAGCTCAGAGTAGTCACCTAGCAGGAGAATAAACTGGGTTTAATTTCCAGTGCTTAGGGGGGAAAGGGTATAAATCACCAGATTTTAAAGACTTGGGTAGTAGGAAAATATAAAAAAAAAAGTAGACATGGAAGTTTGCTATTAGATTTCTTGGGTTGGATGCAAGATTTGAATACATGTCACCAGTTTTTAGGTGTTAGAATGTTAGAAAAGTCGTCATTGTGGATGTGGTCCCATTTGGACAGTACTGCTCTCTGCTCTAGACTTTCATAGGAACCCCAGCCAGTGTGTTTCAGGCTGGCTGTTTTGTTCAGACTCTGAGCTGAGTGCTTCAGTATATCATCTCACTGAATAATAACAACCAAGCTTGTGGCACGAAGTACTGTTTACATTTTATGGATGGGGAAAGTGAAGGTCAGTCATTAATTAACTTGCCTTGGACAAATAGCTGTTAAATGACAGCTGGAATAGACCATGACTTTGATTCTCCCCAAACTGGTGCTATGAACAAATGTGGTACGTGGCAAGTGTAACTGGGGTTTGGGAGCAGTTTCTAAAGACACCTTGCCTGTATCTAAGACAGAAGTTGGCACTTTTCCTGTGTGCTTTGTCACATTAACACAGAATATATGGTTACCCTGCACTTTTTTTTTTATTGGCTCTTAATGAAGCAGAGGACAGGAGCTCAAAGCCCAGGTGAAGATCTGGTGGCTGGGATGGCATGTCCTCATCTGCCCTTGAGATATGTGTGCTTGAGATACACATGGTGTTTTGAATGAGAATGGCCGCCATGGGCTGATATATTTGAATGTTTAGTCACCAGGGAATATAACTGTTTGAAAGGATTACTATGCTCAATACAGAGCCTGACTTCTGAGGCTGTGTCATAAAAGCACTGTGGCCCCTCTTCACTCTTTTTTAAAAATCTCTCCCTCTCCCCATGTCCCCCACCCCCTCACCCCCACATTCCTTGCTGGAGGAGATGCATAACTAGCAGGGGCTTTGAGGTTTCAAAGGCCCATGCCAGTCCCAGCATTACCAGCCCCCTCTTATCTGCCTGTGGATCACAATGCAGTTCTCAGCGACAGCTCCAGCACCATGCACGCCACCGTGCTCCCCACCATGATAAAAACAGACTAACCCTCGGAAACTGTAAGCAAGGCCCCATTAAATAGTTTCTTTTGTAAGAGTTGCCTTGGCCCTGGTATCTCTTCACAGTTATAGAGTAATGACTAAGTCTCGAATTCATCTCCATTTGCTGGATTCTTATTGTTACCGCAGGCGCGTTCCTTTA